CAGTTTGGAATTTGGGGTGTGGTTGTGCAATGGCCCGACGACACAGACTGTAGCCCACTATATTATGCTTAACTATGTTTCTGTTGGGTATTAATACTTTCACAGATGTGTTTGTGTGGCCCTCATCAGATCCCATTCAAGCCTCCCTTTGAGCAGCTACCCACGCAATACACACACACACACACACACATGCGCACACACACACACGCACACACACACAGTTCTGTTTCGCTGTGCATACAACTGAGGGATTTTATTCTTTTATCTTTCTTTTTAATGCGCAGTGATTATTTATCTTGTTTCGTTCAGCACTTTGCCTTGTGTATGAATTGTGCTAAACAAATAAACTTGCATTGCCACACACTCACGCACACACACACACACACACTTACACACTTTACACCAACAGGCTGGAAGTTTAAGATATTTTTAGTCCTGGCCTTGCCTTGTGTATTAATTGTGCTATAAAAAGAAAACTAAACACACACGCACACACAACAGTCACACACGCGCACACACAACAGTCACACACGCACACATACACACAACACATACACACGCGCGCACACACATACACACACAACATACACACACACATACACACAACACATACACACGCGGGCACACACATACACACAACACATATACACGCGCACATACACACACATACACACAACACATATACACGCGCACACACACATACACACAACATACACATACACACACACACACACCACACAACCAACACACACACACTTGAAGATATTTTTACACCTGGCCTTGAATCATGAAGAAGCAAAGAGCAACACAGCAATTCATATTATGTTGAGAAAAGTCGTCACCATAAAGTTATGTAAAAACAGAAATAGGATTTTAGGGAAAGTGGTTTTTGGAACGAGTCTTTCCACCTGTTCTGGATAAGTGTGTGAAGAGAAAACTTTGGAATCAGCATTCTTCAAAACCGCAACGTCTGGCGCTGGCGTTTGGACAGAAGGATCGGGTTTAGCATCAGTTTGAAGCAGACCAGACTAAAACATGCAAAGAGTAACTAAATCAAACTAAATTATATTATTATTTATGTCTATTTTGTGTCTTGTTTTTAATATATTTGCATCTTGTTTAATGTTTATATAGTTTTCTTTTGCATAATGTTTGAAATAAATTCTACTACTATATTATATAGTTAGTGTATGGATTGATTTACCACTGAATAAAATCTCTTCAAAATAATAAGTAAAATACTGCTTAAAATAATAAAAAAAAAAAGATCTGAAATAGAAGAAGAAAATATGACTTAAAATAATCAAATAAAACCATAGACTGTAAATATTAACGGACGTAGTCACCCTTTCTGTAATTATTACACTAATGTGCCACAACATCCGCGGTCTATGGGCAGTTTTAAAATGGCCGCGGGGGCTGGAAAATGTGAAAAAAACGCATCTGTGTCAGCTGCACGAGCCCCATTCATTTAACGAGTGCCTTCTAAAGTCCACAGCGACTAAACTAGACTGGTCCAAAACACTCCCCTCAGTATTGACACACATGTGGAACGGAGCTTTGGGCCAAGAGCCACTTTTGGACCATCCTGTAAAGACGTCTTCCAGAGTTCAGCTAATGCTATATGTTAGCATTGGCTAATTCTTATTCCGAGTCCACCACATTGGCCCGGGGTGGTATTGCAGCATGTCAGTGCACGTCATTTTGGCCACTTTTGAGCCGGGACCCCACTGAATAAAACTATTCCCAAATGACTTGATTCCAATTTAAAAACATACATTTTTTAAAAACTTATTTCTTAAACATAAATGTGTGTTTTTACTCTGGAAGTGAAGAGTTAGCGGCTCTAAGCTGATAAAGAAATGTGTGTTTTGAGTGTTCTGAATTTCAATGAAGCTCAGATGTGGACTGGACAGCAAGAGGTGAGGGACTTGGGTTAAGGTAAAAATTGATTTTACGGTGAATGAAAGCAGATGCCTGAGAACACACATGCAGAGAGAGAGAGAGAGAGAGAGAGAGAGAGAGAGAGAGAGAGGGAGAGAGCTATCAGGGGGAATACAGCGGCACGTATGAACAATCACACGTGGCGCTCACACACTGCTCCACTATTCACAAAGAAGGTTAATTGAAGGTTAGGACTGGGGAGCTGAAGACGGAGGGCTCTGAAACTCTCTCTAACTCTCTCTCTCTTTCTCTCTCCTCCTCCTCTTCCTGGGCCCAGTCTAAATGTGCAGCCATGCAGATGCCTACAATTTCATTAATTCAACCCATGGGCTACACACTGCAGCGCTAGCTCTTTCCCCGTCTCCCCCGTCTTTTCTCTCACACGATGCATATGGCTCCACTAAAAGGTTAATATAATCGGCTGCCACTGAGGACAGCTACACACACACACACGCGCACACACACACGTGCACGCACACAGACATAGACGCACACACACAAGCAGAAATAATTCACCTGCACTAAGTTGATGTAGTTATAATGCATGCATGTTGTGGATTGTGGTCTCTCTCTTTGGTCTCTCCCTGGTCTCTCTCTGGTCTCTCTCTGGTTTCTCTCTGGTCTCTCTCTCTGGTCTCTTTCTCTGTTCTCTCTCTGGTCTCTTTCTCTGTTCTCTCTCTGGTCTCTCTCTCTGTTCTCTCTCTGGTCCCCCTCTAGTCTCTCTCTCTGGTCTCTCATCTCTCTCTGGTCTCTGCCTCTGGTCTCTTTCTCTGGTCTCTCTCTCTGGTCTCTCTCTGGTCTCTCTCTCTGGTCTCTCTCTCTGGTCTCTCTCTGGTCTCCCTCTAGTCTCTCTCTCTGGTCTCTCTCTCTCTGGTCCCTCTCTCTGGTCTCTCTCTGGTCTCCCTCTAGTCTCTCTCTCTCTCTCTCTGGTCATTTGTTGTGCAGATTACCCACTACTTATGAAAGTTAAAAAAGGTAAATGTCGGCCTGGAGAAAAATGGATAATAATTAAATGATATTTCAAGACTGACCCTCGACCGGAACGTTGACGCACACATTGTGGATGGATGGTGCAAACCTCTGAATAATGACATTTGATTAATAATGAATCAAATCCAATGATTACTTATACTAACTATGGAATACAGAAAAGCCACAGCCTCAATGGACAGAAACTCTTTGTCCGTGTTTGCAGAGAAATTAACAATGTTTTCTGGGTTTGCTGTGAGTTTACAGCCGCTCTGCTTTTGTCTCGTCACTCATGAACTACTGGAGATAGTACTTTTGTGTTAAATCGCTAAATATGGAAGTTACACAACCTTTTTATACGTATATCACAAGTTTTGAAGAACGAGGGGTTGAGACAAAGCGACAAAGCTGCAAAATATTCCTTCAGAAATCACTCCCACAACGTAATCATAGCCTCTCAGTCTTCTGCCCTATTTACATGTTGCTTTGTAAGAATAGTTTGACGGGTAATGTTGACACTGTGTGCAATGACAACGCAAAATGTTGTGTATTTAACTTTAGAGTGAGACCATGTGACGCTGGTTTGTGAGGCACTTTGTATTCTAGTGTGCAGTGTTGTGTTGTGTGTGCGTGCGGTGACACAGTGGCTCTTTGTGGCCATCTGCATTAGTATGTATGTGTGTGTGTGCGTATAGCGTATAGTGTGTGCATGTGGGTGCTTACGTGTGTATAGTGTGTGTGTGTCCTTCATCATCCTCTTGGAGCCAGTCTCCCACACACACTCATTAGCCTAAGCTTTGCCATCCATTTTCTTGCGTAGAATGTAGAGGAAGTGACAGTCGTCGAGGTTAAGGGACTAAGTGGGATCTAATTAGATTTTTTAAGGTTTTATTTTTAGGGATGCCCCGGCTGAACATTGATATCGGTCGGTGTTTTCCTTGTTAACGACCATCAGCAAATAAAAAATGACTTTGGTCAATGGTAGCACGTGTGAAGAGTCACCAGTAGGGGGCATCTGTGCTTTTTCCACAGTAGAAGAGACAAAAAAAGATGGCGGCGGTCGTGAAAAATATCAGTGTTTACGGTTTGCACGAGTTCAGAGAGATTTCAAGGTGTGGGAGAAAATCATTGAAAGAATCTCATTGGACGATTGAGAAGAAGGAGGCGGAGATAGCGACTGCAGGAAGAAACCGCCAAGATATATATAAATATAAATAACAACAAGAAAAAACATCGTTATCGGCCCAAAATGTCACAATCTTTTGGGAGAGTGAAGCAAACTTGAAATTGTCATTTTCTGTTCAGCCATTTTAGGTTTTAGAAAATCTGATAACTCCGGTGCACTCGGAGAAACATGAAGAGGGTGAAGGGATCCCATTGGTTCGTTGGGGATGAACAAATCCCATTGGTTTATTTTTATCGGTCCGCTCAAAAATATTTTTTATACATTTTTGTAGACAATAGGCATCTGGTCAATTACATTACTATTTGAAAACACATGATTACTTGATACTTTTAGGGTTTAGGGACATTTTCCCACAATATAAAAAAAAAAAGTTTTATATTATATTTGTCTGATGTATAGCTCGCCAACATGACGTTATAGTGTCTGGACTCTGGGAGAAGCAAACTAAAAAGTTGATTAAATTAAGTCAGAGCAACACTTCCTGTTTCTAATGGTTCCCCATAAACATCCCTCGCTCAGACCCGTGCATTTCCACAGTAAACATGAATAATTTAATCATGATCGATCGGTTTGTTTTGGCCTCAAATGTCAGAGGGTCATTTGATCGCAGCCCCTCTCTCCCATCGCCGTTCTCTCTCTCCTCATGGGCGACACGGTGGCTGAGTGGTTAGCACTCTCGCTTCTCAGCAAGAAGGTTCTGGGCTCAAATTGCGGTCGCAACATGGCCTTTCTGAGTGGAGTTTGCATGTTCTCCCCGTGTCTGCGTAGGTTTCCTCCGGGTACTCCAGTTTCCCCTACCACTAAAAACATGTACAATAGTTCAGGGTGAATGAGTGTGTGTTTGTGAGTGCGAATGTGGGACGACGGATGGAAATTAGCCCAAGGTACTGGAGTGATGTGTTCATGAACATGTATTGTGCCAACCAAATAAACAATAAATAAATAAAATCGTTGTCTCTCGCTCCTCGCCGTTCTCTGTCTCCTCGCCGTTCTCTGTCTCCTCGCCGTTCTCTCTCTCCTCGCCGTTCTCTCTCTCCTCGCCGTTCTCTGTCTCCCCGCTGATCTCTCTCTCCTCGCCGTTCTCTCTCTCCTCGCCGTTCTCTGTCTCCTCGCCGTTCTCTGTCTCCTCGCCGTTCTCTGTCTCCCCGCTGATCTCTCTCTCCTCGCCGTTTTCTGTCTCTTCGCCGCTCTCTCTCTCCTCGCCGTTCTCTGTCTCCTCGCTGTTCTCTCTCTCCTCGCCGTTCTCTCTCTCCTCGCCGCTCTCTCTCTCCTCGCCGCTCTCTCTGTACTGACCGTCCTTTCACGGCCGATGACCGCAGACATGTTTGGGACCCCTGTGCACCTGCTTTTAGTGGCCGCTCCCCGCTGCTGGACCATTGTGTGCTGGCCTGTTGTGTCCTCGCTGTAGCTGTTTTGGATGCTTTTGAGGCGTTTATTCATGAAAACAAGGTGGTTTACAATAAGATGATGTTTGGAAATTTGATTCATTTCCATCTCTTCCATTAGCGCATTCCTTCTGGCTTTTGTAGCTTCCACGGTGTTTAGGAAAAATAAATATCTTCTGGATGCAATGAAAATCATACAGGCATCAAGCTATAAAAAAGGCAAAATTAGATGGACAAACAAGAATATCCAACAGACAGATATAGACAGAGCTGTAGACAGAGCTGTAGACAGAGACATAGACAAGACACAGACAGAGACACAGACGGAGACACAGACAGAGACACAGACGGAGACACAGACGGAGACACAGACGGAGACACAGACGGAGACACAGACGGAGACACAGGCGGAGACACAGACGGAGACATAGACGGAGACATAGACACAGACACAGAAACAGACAAGACACCATTTTTTCTTCACTTTCATTATAGAAAATGTGATTCACAGAAAGCGACACAGACAAGACACAGTGAAGACACAGACATCCAAGATTTTTTCATCTACTTTCATTATAGCAAAGTTGATTCATGTCCATCTCTCCCATTAGCGCATTCCTTTTGGCAGTTCAGGGTTTAAATACACAGTTTGGACTCAGTCTGTGCCGTCAGAGTCTGCACAATACTTCTATGACAGCGCTAAACTACAGCCACTCACAGGCGAACAAAGAAAGAAAGGAAATTCAGGAGAGGAATGCTGTAGCTTTAGCATCGATAGCTCACAGCCGCAGATAACATGAAGCGGCCTCTAAATACACAGCAACAGAGTCAGGTTCCATAATTATCTAAACGCTATGCTAGTTTGATGTATTATTATCATTATTATTTAAGTAATGTACTGGAACTAGCCACATTAAACCTCTTCTTGCACATATTTTTGCAGTAAAATACACAGAAAAAGTCCAGACAAAAGTTGTGTGTGTGTGTGCGTGCGTGTGTGTGTGCGTGGGATAGAAGGACAATAACCCTGCTGTTGTCGGCTGGTGGTGAGTGGGCAGCTGGTCCACATTTCCATGGTGTTGGGCTGTAGCAACCAGGTGGACTCTGAAGTGGCCTGACCCTCACACACGAGCGGGAGGGTCTCTTCTCTGATTCCTAAAGACTAAATCCTAACTTCAGAATGTCTAAACTTTACCTGAGAAATAGTTATTACATGTTAATAATAATAATAATGAAGTGGCAATAAAAAAGTGGCAATAGTATTTCAGGTTTTTTAGTCCCAGTGCAAGTGACTTAAAGTGACTTATTGTACAGTCTGACAGGCAACCAGTATAAACCATCAGTCCCTCTGACCACCAAAAGGGCGCCCCCAAAACGATTAATTTTTTTTCATGCATAAAATTACTCTAAATGAAAAAGCTTGACCAAAAGGATGTTTGTTGAATCAGTTTAAATGCATTACAAAGGATATACCAGCATGTCCTCTCTATGGCCTCTTGTCTTTTCAGTTAAAAACTTGAAATAGATACCCCATGTGCCAAAATAGATCCTTTGGAGGGCTTCATTTGGCCTGCAAGCGGCATTCAGGGCACCTTTGATCCTAACTTTTTATCCTGCTCTTGATTCAATATTTAAAGATTACAAAGACGTCAGATGCCGTAAAATAGATCATGAGACCTGTTATGGGTCGGCATATGAGAGATGGATGTGTATTTTGTGCACAGATTTGAGTCCCCACAGTGTAATAAATACCCCCATGCGCACACACACGCACACACATAGAAACACATAGGCGCACATAGACATACATAGGCACATAGACACACATAGGCATGCATAGGCACACATAGACTCACACACACACACACATAGGCGCACATAGACACACACACACACACACATAGACACACACACACTTAGGCACACATAGACACACACACACATAGGCACACATAGACAGACATTTAGCCTTTGTTGTTGGTCTTGGTTCATTCATGAGTCGACCTGGATACACGCTCTGCAGGAGTCCCTACAGACCAGGTCCCGTTAGACCTTGTTAGTGGCAAACGCTGCACACATTTAACATTGGGAGCATGAAGCATTTATCGCATTAAGATCTTGTTAACAAATCTCCTGCCTTTTTTAAACTATCAAATGTAATTATTTCAGAACCATCATGAAAAACAAGCCGGGTTATTCTCCTCGTCCTCTGAGTGAAACAACCTGTCATGTTATCATTTCAGTAAGTCATTTGTGGCTAATATACTGTATATTGTGTACTGAAAGGTTGTGTTGTAATCCACTTTTCCACAAGTCTGGGGGTCGTATGTTAAATACCAGGAGGAAGCAGACTTTTTACACGCTAATACAGAGTGTCTTTGGTTCTTCTCATCCTATATCTGCATATGGAGGTGTGTTATGTACTATCAAAATGGATTTTTCAGTCTTGTCTGAGTTAGATCTGGTTTTGGAAACAGAGACAGAGCCCGTGTCTCTGGTTCAAACGCCACTTCTCCTTGGAGGACCACCAAGTGATAAAATTTGTGATTTTGTCCAAGTTTGACTGTAGTTAAATAACAGCAATAAAGGTGCAGTAAGCAATTTTGTTAGCTTAGCCGTTGCACCAACTCGAAACCACTCCATCCTCCCCTTCCCTCTCCACCAAACCACTCCCCGTCCCCTCTCCTCTTCACCAAACCAAACATCCACCATTTTCTTTTCTTTTTCACAGGGAGATTGGGCGGCAAACATGAAATTGGCATTTTCTGTTCAGCCTTTTTAGGTTTTAGAAAATCCGATAACTCCGGCGCACTCATGAGAAACAGGAAGAGGGTGAATGGGGTAAACACATCCCATTGGGATCGTTGGGGATGAATGAATCCCATTGGTTCATTTTTATGGGTCCGCTCCAAATTTTTTTTAATACATTTTAGACTATAGGCATCTGGTCAATTCCATTACTATTTGAAAACACATGAGACGTGATACTTTTAGTGTTTAAGGACTCTTTCCCACAATATTTTAAAAATGCGTCTGGAAAAAATCACTGACTGCATCTTAAACATAACCACATGATAACTAGATATGGCGTTGGCCCACCTTTAGCCACGGTCGAGCTGCAGCCGTATGGTTGTGTATAATCACCACAGATCCTTTGGCTAAACAGCGCTCGCAGGTGGCCCGTGTGGATGCTCCTGTTGACTCTGCATGTTTTTTCATTTGTTTACTGTTGCTAATTTGCCTCGGAGGCTTTTTCGCTCAGATAACGTAGCACGCCGGCCCCGGAATGAGGGACGAGCCGCTAATAGAATGTTGATTAATTTTACAGTGTGCTTGAAGCCTCTGAGCGTGAGTGATACTTGAGAGTGCAGGAGGACAAGTGGAGAGGTGGTAAGTACTCGCCATCGTTGCGTAACCCAGATATTGGAGTAGTCTGTGCGTGTACTGGCATCTTGCGCACATATTGCACTGTACAAATACACTCAAAGTCTCGGGGGAAGACAGGAGAGAGAGGAGAGGGAGGAGGCTGACCAGATGGAGCAGACTGCTTCTTGCTGAGAGAGCTTGACGACAGCTGAACAGCTTGAGGTGGACTGGAGTGGCAGGTTGCATATCATACTTGCCTGAAGTGAAGGCACAGGCCCAGTGATGCTACATGTCGGTGGAAACTGCGGAGGAGTCTGTCTGTCATACATGCGTGTGTAGTAACATGGCCTGTTTAGCAAATGATCCGTGTGAATGATCTTGACAAACAATCAGTGGCGTGTAAATGTGAGCAGAAGGCGTGACTGTGTAGGCCCCATCATGTGCGCTTGGTCATAGGTTTCGAAAAGACAGGTTCCCATGATGGTCCTAGACAATGTCATTTTTATTATAGAGATAATTGTTATTCAGTTTGGACCTCCAGAATTAAATTAAAGGAGAAATATGTACAAAATCTGGCGGAAAGTGGTACTGAAATCACGGTCAATATGAGGTGCAGCTAACACATGCGCAAATGTGTTTTTTTCACATTTTCTTGCCCCGTGGCCATTTTGAAAAAGCCACAGAAGGAAAAAGTGGTGGCACATTAGTTTAAACAGCAGAAATAGGTGTGACTACTTTAGAGATTTCATGACACTTTGAAGCAACTGTGGTTAAAGTTAAACTCATCATTCTAACAATAAGTCATTTTCCACTACATATTTTGGTTTTCTCATGGTTTTTCCCTACTATTATTTTCAGCTGCTGATTGGACGGTCTATGATTCTACCTCTATAATACCACATGCGTTCTGTAACATCTTGGTCCGTGCCTGTCTCTACCATCAACAATAAAACATGTCTTCTGTCTGTCTGTCACTACGTCTGTTAATAATTACAGTCTATGATACACATCCATAGGAAAACTAGTGATAGATCTAAACTGTTTTGAGTGTGAGAAACGAGATACAAAATTAGCTACGCCGGTTTAAACACATTGTAACCAGGGACAAATCAACCTCCATTTCTTTCTACCTTAAAGGGTTTGTTCTGTCTGGCCAAGCGTCTGAAGTCTTTCTCTTGACACTCATTTCTTCTCCTCCGCACCTTCACCTCCATCACCCATCCCCAGCTCCTCTTCTTTGCCAATAAATCGTCTCTCCACTGGGCCTATTCCTCTAGCAGTGATTATGGTTTTTTGGATTCCAGCCTGCATTTTTTTCAAGGCCCAGAAGCTTTGATAGAATGAAAAAAAATCTCAATACTTCAATCCAATAACGAAAAAATGAAAAATAGAAATATGTGAAGCGAGTCATCATTCAGTGTGAAGAAAAGGAAATTGTCAAACTGGAAAATGTCTCCTTGTTTGAATAGGAGCCAGGGCTGGAGATGCCAAGAAGATGAGTAGTTTGGAGTCTGACTAGGATGTAATTACTGCTGCTGCCTCTTCTCAGTGAAGAATTAATTGTTCAAGTAATGCATTGTTTTTGAATGTTGTATTACAAGTATTTCCCTCTTTGAAATTGCCACTATGCCCATGCGTTGCTGTAGTCCAAAAGGGGTTTTAACAGGGATTTCTTGTTCAATCTATTCCAGAAAACACTTCCCAGAAGGTCTCCTTATGAGAGGCAGAACAATGGCAGTTCTGATATGTTCTCCCGATAACTTGGCCTTGTCTTTTTACCTCGTGGACGCTCATCAAAGCGGATCACAAGATGGTTTCTGGAAACTCAGCCAATACCTGAGAAACAATAGGCTGTGCAAGTGGCTAAACCATGACTAACCCCATCCAACAAGTCCAGAACAATGGATCTGTCTCGAGAGTTGACTTCAGACACGGATTACCATGCAAAACCATTCTAGTCCATAATTAGATTACAATAGGGAAGCGACTTGAAGCTGAGGGGTTTGTTGTTGAGTCCGGAGCCAAGACTAAGCTTCAGTGGCTGTGGTGTAAATCAGGGAAAGTTTCTTGGTTTAATCCTCGACTGGAGATTTAGTTTAAGCTGCGAACCGCTGACTCTGAGAGACTGGAATAACACTTTGTGCAATCACTGCCAAAGTGCTCTTGAGCTACTCTTTACTCGAGCGTAACCTCTGATAGTTTTCCCCTTTTCCTGCATTTCAAATTTGTTAATTGATATTTGTATTCTCAACTAACCAAGCTTCAAAACATGATATTGTTTGTCATAGTTGCCAAAAAAGTAATTCATGAAGTTGTATGTTTTATTTATTTATAGGGCAAAGGAAAGCAATTGTTCTACTTTAGTTAAATATCTTCAGTTGACTACAGCCCAAGACAACCCTTAAAGAAGCTATACCCGATTTTTTTTCTAAGTACTTGATAAAAATGCTTATTACTACATACAAGTTGTATTATAATCCGTGATTTAATTGAAAACTTGAGATTCAGCTGTGTAAGAATTACAAGCAGTGAAAAGTGCTGAGTAGAGTCTGAGCGGGCCGCTCGTTCTCCTCCACTCACAGAACGAGCAGCGAACAGCCTGCGTCCTCTAGCCCCTACAGCGCTGCTAAAAACTAGGGCTTCGACTTCAAAAATTTGAATATAATTCTAAAATTAGAAAAAAAAAATATATATATTAGGGTTGGGCGATATGGGCCTCAGCATGTATCACGATTTTTGTTGGTATGTATCACGATATGACGATATGATAATTAAAACAAAGCCTCAATTCACAGAAAGTGAATTGCCTCAAAGTGCATTTACTGATTTATTGGCAGCAAAATGTGTAATACAGCTATTGTATATAAAACGTATTAACAAAACTGAATTGTAGATAATTCTGTTTTGTACATACTGAAAATTGCAGGCAACATGTAATAAAGGTGAACATTTGTAATTTGTAAAATATATAAAAGTTTGTCCTTTGTAATATAAAAAGTGTAGCATTATCAAATAATTATTTGATAATAATAATAATAATACATTTTATTTATATTGCACTTTACATTTCAAAGAAACCTCAAAGTGCTACAACAGGTAAATTAAAATCAGATAAAACAAAATGAACATGACATAGTAAAACAAAGCAAGCACAAGAGCAAAAACAAACTAAAAGGCCTTTTTAAATAAATGTGTTTTCAGGCCTTTTTTAAAGGCCTCAACACTCTGGGGAGCCCTCAGGGTCTCTGGCAGGGCGTTCCAGAGTCTAGGGGCAACTGCCTTAAAGGCCCTATCTCCCATTGTGGAGAGCTTGCTCACAGGCTGGTGAAGAGTATGGGTGGAAGTGGACCGTAAGCGCCTTGTGGTGGTGTGTGGAGTAACTAGCTCAGTGAGGTATGTCGGGGCTGTTCCATGGACACATTGGTATGTGAGGAGGCAGATTTTATAGTGGATTCTGTAATGGATGGGCAGCCAATGAAGAGACTGGAGGACAGGGGTGATGTGGTCATACTTGCGCCTCCTCGTCAGGATCCTGGCTGCACAGTTCTGGATGTGCTGGAGCTTCAGCAGGCTCTTACCAGGGATCCCGACGAGGAAATCACTTTGGCTTATGTTTCCTAATCCCAATATAGTCAAAATGATCAAATACTGTATATATTTTTGGTATCCTTTTGCGTTTCTATAATTATGTAATTATAACTTATTTGTAATTATATTGCAATGTAGACAAACACATGCATTGAAGTAAAATGAATGACAGTAAACAGTAAATAAAGCTTACCAATGGCACTATGAGAGAGAGAGAGCGTGTGTCCGAAGCAAGCCACTCGAGTCCAGTTGTTTAGTTAGTTCCCAAACTACTCCCATATGTCTGAGGTAGCTCCGCGTTTTGGCGCAATGTCTTCTACAATCTGCATGTCTTCACCATGGTCTTCACCGCCGCCCTCAGCCATGTTTGCTCTCTGCTCTGTTGTTGTTGTCCCTGCACGCCGCTCTGCTACACGTGCCGTGCAGATGCGTCATCAAAGTGCGCCGCACACAAACGTGTCTTCCGCTCGCTGTTTTCAGTGTTAAATGATCGTTTTCACTGGTATAAGGCATTTTCTTATCATTTAATGTACTTATACCGGTATACCGGTACAAAAAAAATATCGCCCAACCCTAATATATATTCGAACACATATTAGACAGCCCTTACAATTCGAAATGTATTCAATAACTGCAAATAAAATAGTTAGCTCCCAAAGGTTCCACCGGGACGTGCTAGGCAGGTAACAGCTAAGCTTGCTAGCTCCCTGGAACTACATGTTAATGGCTACTTCCGGGTTTTTCGCGATCGCTTTTTGTCACATTAAAATAGTAATTTGGTCATGAAAACAAAAACAAGAAATTCTCAAAACGTCCGTGCATGTGTGTTAAGGATGTATATGTATACTGTATTGTCCAATTAACATTTAATGGTGTTGATTGATAGATATGGAGTTGTTTATTGAGCGTGGCTAGCTCGGCAAGCTCCGCTAGCTTCTCTCATTGTACTTGCGGAGTAATGTTAGTATTTTATAGCCTGACTTTTGCCAGACCCATGTAGTTCGCTGCACTTCACACATGAGTCTGGCACTGAGCCATAGTGGTTGGATTTCAGAAGGCAGGGCCTTGTAAAAAAAATCCTTGTATGTGATTGGATAGACCACTTGTCCGTTATCTTGAATGAAGTCTGCTTTCAACCACTCACATCGAAGCACACGGCTCCTATAGGTTGCCAAATCCCCGCAAGATTTTCCAACCCAAAATCCGCGAGAATACCCACACAAAAAAAACACTCAGAATGATTTTTTGGCTAAAAACGTAATGTAATCAACTTGGGCTATCATGATTCTGTTTATTGTCTTTCTGTTTATTTAATACCTACAAGTCTCTTGGAAAACAATATGCGGGAACCACCAAACCTGGCAACCTTGCTACATAGTGTGTAAACAGGAACACTGAACCAGTGCTTCAACCAAACTTTACAGGAACATTTGACTCTTAAAACACACATATCAACATAGAACCATCAACAACTCGCCTCATATTGCATTAAAAGTGACATCCGTGTCTTAATTCGATCGTATTTACTCTTTTAAAAAGATTCGCGGACTTTACGTCCGCCATCTTGGATTCCTCTCGCTGCTGCATGAGAGAAGCTGTGCAAACCCCACGTAACGGCGGCAATCCTGATTGGTCCATTAAAAAATAATCTGGGGAAGGCGTTCGCTATGGCGTCGATACCAGACCCATGTGGTTCAGCCAAACGCCTCTGGTGGAGCATGGCGGAACTACAAGGGTCTGGCAGAGCCAGGCTAAGTATTTTACACACCTGAATTACAAACAGAGATTGCATTGCGAAAGGGCAGCGGTCATTATTGATTTGAGAGTTCTGTTATCAAGAAAAAATTATTGGTAGAATTACATTCAAGTCAATGGAGTGTTCTACTGCTGCTGTGAGGAGCTGTATAATAAATTATAATTAAATACTCGAATATATTCTAATGTTTGAATGAATAAATTTGGATGCGAAACTAGCAGTATTCTTTTACCTATATATTGTGTTAGCAGTGCGTTGCTTTAGTATAATTTAATCGGTGATTGTTGTACAGCTTACAAGAAGTTGTGCGAATGCTAATGTTAGCATACATGTCAGATCGCAAATTGAACTAGATGGCTCTGTGTTATGAGAGCGTAGGGGAAATGAGAGACCTGTGAGCGAGTTGGGGGCGGGGCTAAACATTCAAACCTTGCAGAAACGGGTATAGCGCCTTTAAAGGTATACAGGAGGATTTTCTTCTTCCGGGTGATCATCAAGACTATTGTCAATCATTCTGGTTATGCTTGTCCAATAAGACCAAATAATTTTGTTAAAAAAGTGGAGAAGGCGGTTCTTTCCTAAAATTTGGGAAAGAATCCTCCTATATACCTTTAAGCAGTAGTTTCAAGAAATTGTGCATTGGAGGTAATTGTTGACATTTTCTTGCATTTCAAATCCTCAATTATAGACCTTTTTCCCGAACATTCCACTACTACTGTGTGTGTGATTTGCAGAGACATCAAAAACATTTCTTGAGCCGTGAGTGTGTGTTTGGAGCTGACCTTTTGCTTCTGTGTAATAACTCTTTTCCGAAGCCACAGACTTCTCATCAGACGACCACGGATCGATGAGTCTCGGCACAGTTACACC